GAACAATGTCTGGAGCGACCCATCTTCCTCAGAATTTCAGAGAGAAATGCAGTGTAACCAGCATGTACAACATTTGCTGCCTTCCTTCCTTAAATAAGGGCAATAATTGCCACCTGTTTTTCAAAGAATGAATGACCTCACTAATAGAACTCCACACTGCTATTATTTTGAACATGCCCCTTTCAATTAGTGATTCAATTACACAGAATCAGCAGCATGCATGACATGACTGTTGGGTCTGTTGGATTTCTATTACTCTACTACACCTGCTAGTAAATTATTTGCCATGTAGAAATATAATTTCTACCAAAAACAGTGATTGATCAGGTTAGTGATGTCTGACTGCTATTATTTTGAACACAACTGTATATACCAATGAAGTCAGAGTAAAGTTATGCAACGATTACTCCCACAGGAGCCCCAAGGGTCCCTAGGGTCTTTTCCTGTAATTGCACCCGCAGCCAGGCACAGTCACAGTCACTTCTTTGGCTCAATGAACAGTCTAGGGGTATGCGTTTTTGATAATATAATGCATAACTTGAACTTGAATAGATTAGAGTAACTTTGAGATACTATAGTAACTTTAGCAGCAATCGTCCTCCTATTACTCTGAGCAGAGTCCTTGTACAAGCAAATAGTGGACTGAGCTATACCATGCTGACTCTAGCACCAGAAGGATGACCACAGCACACAGTCTCAAAGATCTTTCACCCCAGCCTGTACTCATTAATGTCCTTGGATTATTAGACACCTCCTTCCAATATCTTCCAGACATCTCTCCAGTGATAGCAGACCAAATACCCAAACAAAAAGTCCCTCAGTCAGCTCCAGCAGCGTTTAGCACAATAGGCCCCCTAGCTAGCCTAGTTGGGACTTCAATGAGCAACAGACCCATAGCAGGCCTGCTCAGAAGGGCAGTAGCCTTCCAGGTCACAATCTCCTCCTCCTGGAAAAAGACCACTCTGTTACAGGTCTCAGAGTATTTATACACTCTCCCAACCACCATCTGGGCACACACTCCCCAGGGATTGGTAGGGTTGCATAAATATGCAGGTGCTGATTTAACTCTCCCTGCCCACTATCTTCTGGAATCCTTCCAGACAAACAAGGGGAAGCAGTCAACCCTGCAGCCAGTGAAACAGAGAACATACTAAAATAATCACATGCAGCTCAATTGAGTATAATGAGCCTAGAACTACATTTACCTAACCTAGCACCTAATTAGGTGGGTGCTACAGTTAGAACATCTGAGCTGCATACTTCCAGTACTGGGGGAATTGGATGAGCATGACAGCTAGAAATTTTCAAAGTCAACAATAGCAGTTCCATCATTCTCTTAGCATAAACTAGCTAAAACATTAACATTTTGCTTTTAAACCTATTTGTATCTAATTTATTAATATTTCTAAAGTGCTTTTCTGGGGACAAAAGCACTTTATCTGTTGTTGGAGCAGATGATCAGGCAGCCATTTTGGGCATTCTCAGTAGAATATGTTGCTAAAGGCCAATTTGAGACAGGGGGATAGTCAAGTAAATGGCACAAGGGCAGGGGACCCCCCCCAGGGGGACAAGTATCAAAGCAAAAAAAAATAAAAAAAAATTATACTTAGTGGGGGGCAGTCATTTCAATTAAGCCAATATTAAAAATGCTAAATCCCTGATACCTCTTCATTTTGTTCAGCTGGCTGCACCACTCATTAAATAGGCAATGTCATGAGTGGATCATTAAGGGTGCCATTAATAAACTCTCCTTTGGGAAAGCGAATTCCCTGACAGTCAGATTGGTGCTTTGGCCTCTATACTGTCAGAGTATCTGACCTGAAACAAGTATAGAAATACAGGGCTCTGTCACATTTCTGATCTTCATTTAAAGCATGCTTGTTCTGGGTCGTTAATTCCAATGTACTTAAATGAAACATAACTGTAACTGAAACAAACAAACCAAAAATGCTATTTATTTATTTAATTAATAATATTCAAAGCAAGCCCACCCACTCATCCATATTTTTCCACAAAAATATGACAAAAAATGACAACTTCAAAAAACTCGCCATGCCTCTTGCTAAAATACCTCAGACTGTCTACTTTCTGAAAAGTGGTCATTTGGTGGGTATTTTTACATTTGGGACTCTAGGAATGATGCTGAGAAATGAGGCTGTCAGTACATTTCATCGAATTTTAGATATATACCATAGTTTGTGGAATCTATAACTTTCCTACCAACTAAATAATAAACTAAATAATAAACACTGATTTTGGTTATTTTTGCCAAAGAAATGTAACAGAATACATTTAGACCTAAATTTGTGTAGAAAGATTATTTATTTGCAAAGTTTTATATCAGAAACGATCTTCTGTCTTTTTTCATTTATAGCGCAAAAAATGAAAACCCCAGTGGTGATTAAATACCACAAAAAAAATCTGTGTTTGTGTGAACAAAATGATAATAACTTCATTCGGGTACAGTGTTGCATGACAGCACAATTGTCATTCAAAGTGCGACAATGCTGAAAGGTAAAAAATGGCCTGGGCAGGAAGGGGGTAAAAGTGCCAGGTAGGTAAGTGGCTAATCAATATGTAAAGTCTCCTAACTATAGAAACACTAGGTTATATATATCTCACACTAAAGTTAAAGCAGAACATTCAATAAATAGATTTAAAAAAATAAATAAAAGTGGAACGCAAGTCTCAAGTAAAAAAAAACTGCAAGCAGACAGGCTCTTTATTGCAGAAGAGACAAGATGGTCATGTCTTTCTATACTGTTTTGCTATTAATCCTGTGCCTCTAATTAATTAAAAAAAAAACTATATTTTGCTGAAGGGGAATCACAGCTGTTTCTTTGAATCTTTTGACATTGATCACTATATGCCAAAGAATATATATTTTCCAGTTAAACTATTGCTCAAACTATCTCATAAAGTTGATTGTCCATCTACAATTTAAATTCTTACTAGATGAGTGCATTTCTGACCTTCATCTTTCATATCTCAAATGAATAAATAATAATAGTGCAATTAGAAAAAAAAATGGGTTTGCTAGGCACTAAAACATACCTTTAAAAGTGGAAAAAGAATGCAGCAGGAAGAAGTAACAATTGTACCAAGAAAATTCTATATATTTTACTGCATTCATTCCTCATTGGCCTACTTCATTGCAGGCTATCCTCTCTTCAGTCTATCATGAATGCGGCTGCCAGACTCATCCACCTTACTAACCGTTCCATATCTGCCACCCCTCTCTGTCAATCCCTCCACTAGCTTCCCATTGCCCAATGGATAAAATTAAAAACATTAACAATAACATATAAAGCCATTTATAGCTCTGCCCCCAAATTACGTCACCAATCTTGTCTCCAAATATCACCCAAACAGTCCTCTCCGCTCCTCGCACAATCTCCTGCTCTCTAGCTCCCTTGTCTACTCCTCCATGCTCGTCTCCAGGACTTCTCCAGAGCTTCCCCCATCCTCTGGAATTCTCTACTCCAATGTATCACACTATCGCCTACTCTGCTCACTTTTAGGCGATCTCTGAAAACCTATCTCTTCAGGGAAGCCTATCCTGCCCTCAGCTAATAATGGAATCTTCTATTCCTTCTACCAGTCCATCCCCCACAGTTATTACCTTTTGTACCACTAGCCCTTCCCACCTAGATTGTAAGCTCCGAGTTGCTAACCCTCTTGTATTGAACTGTATTGTTGCTGTATTGTCTCCCGTTATATTCTAAAGCGCTGAGCAAACTGTTGGCGCTATATAAATCCTGTATAATAATAATAATAATAATACTATATTCTGGCAACTGTATGCTTGTAATATAATAATAGGAATATTAATAATGATAATTACATTATTATCATTTTATTTAGCTCTTTGCCTATGCACACACTAGAATACTAGAATGAATCTTCTTGATGCCACTAGTAGAACACATACTTGCTTTATGTACCAAATAGTTAGGGTTCATTCATGGCTGCACAGATCCATACACCATGAGTAGAAGTGTAAATGTCTGCGCCCGGTAGTACAGATGTTTGTGTACAGCCGTCTGTACAAATCAATGACAGGCAGTGTCTGTATGCCATATGCCGTTAAACGTACACCTGAGAGCATCTACATGGAATTGGAGGAATGCAAACTGCCTATCTATCTATCCCTGTACATGTAAACAGGGACGCAAACACAAGAGAAGTGTGATATTTAATTACAGCCAACCATGTTTGTCAAATTATAGTCTATAAAAATCATTAAAGAGCACTTTCATAGAGTAAAATAAACCAGTTCTGTAGGATGGACAGATATGCATTATAACATAGGTCATCCATTTGTTTTTGGACTCAGTACTGACAAAATATATTTTCAAATTATATTTATTAAGCAATATTCACATAATGCTGCTTGTGGCGGTGTAGTAATTGTAATGTCTGGGATATTAGCTCAGTGAATTGGATGCACACTGTCATTTCGTCTAAACATGTCATAACAGTTAAACAGGCCAGAAAAAAGATTAAGAGCACAAGTACTATATTTAGGTTAATGGAATAATACATGTAATAACAATGATTACTGCTATAATTAATGTTATTTATTTTTTTAAAATACCCATTGTAAAACCTACAAAGTTGTGCTTCAATCTCTGCAAAGCACTATGTTCAGCAACTGAACAAAAAGAACAGTGCTGGGGGAGACAAATGAGTGTGGTGCAGCTTGACCATGCACTCCTTACTGTCATGGGTCATTGCCTTTAACAGGCTGATACATTTTAAAATCAGCTGTCCCACGGGATCTTTCCAACACATTCTTGCACAAACCCCATGCAGAGCAATCCAGGAGGTGGAGAGCTCCCTCCATAGCAACTATGGATGCAGGCCACTAGTTCCCATATTGTACCATCTTTTTATACGTAGAAACTAGAATTCAATTATAAACAATTAATTGGTATATGGTATGCATAACTCTTTTCTATCTTATCAATGCATCTTAAACACAACAAAAAACTGAATTAAAGTGTTACTAAACCCAGGACCCTGCATTCACTATATCTGGTCTCCCACAGTACACACACCATGGAAACGCAATTATTTTAGTAAATATAAACTACTAAATACCTTTTCTCAGCAGCAGTATATAGCAGTCTTGTGATTTCTATCAGTGTCCGGCCAAGCACTGGTTAAAGTTTACATTCTCCTCTGACTGTGCTATGAGGCTACATAACCCCTGACACTCTGTCTGGACAGTGCTGATTGGCCCTGTGCTGATCACATGCACCCTCGCAAAGAAAAAAAAAACTCTCTAGCAATACACACTAACCTAGGCATGTGCAGAGTGACTCCTAGTTTCCATCTACTGATACTCCTAGTATCAGCAGATGGATTGGGGACATTAGAAAAAGGGGAGGATCAGGGAAGACAGGATTAAACAGCCTTTTTACACAATGCAGAGGATTAACCCCTTAGGTTCCACGGTGAGTATAACAAGCATGCTTTACTGCATGTACAAACTGAATTTACTGATTTGAGTTTAGTAACACTTTCACATCAGGATCAAGATCTCGGCACTCAATAGGCAAAAGCAAATTACAATCTATACAAATTAAAATCTAATGCAGACTTAGTAATGCCCAAAGACTGAAAAAAATTGGACTGTAAGCTACAATAAATGTGGATAAAAACGTGTACGAGATATAACTGTTAACAGCAGAAGAACAAATCACTTCATAACTGGATCTTTTGTCCCAGACAACCGTTGATTCTCCAAGATCACAACCACAAAAACCACTGGTAAAGGCTTTTAATAGAGTAGATATAACTGTGCTACTGCTTATCTAATGCTTCATGGCCCCATGCTCCCTGAGTGTATCTGTCCTGAGACTCAGAGGCAACCATGGACTCTTCTCCACATCCATCCATACTCCTTTGTAGAATGACTTTTGAAAGGATAGAACACTTCTCTTTGTGCAATATAAAAGCACCTTGACTAAATGTAATAAAATCCTACTCACAGAAAACAGGGTACAAAAAGCAATAAGAATGCATCCCAAATTATTTTGAATCATAGGATGCCAGTCTGCAAATATTAATGGGTAAACTGTCACAGACACTTAACCACAGTTAGTTTCCCTGAATGCCCAACACGTTTCAAATGTGTTTGAATGCCGAATCAGTTTGGGTTTTATAAGAATATTAGGGTTACTGGCTAGTAAAGGGTTGGACGATTTGAAGTTAGTAATAACTGGCTAGATTTCCCCCACCCTGATGAAGAAGGATCACCATTGAAACATGTTGGCCATTTAGAGTTTAAGAGCAGCTAGCCAGATTATATTCTAATTGTATTCCCCAAATGAAAGACCTTATTCCATGGACTCAATTTAGAATTTTTGATACGGCGCCTCTCATCTAATCCTCTTGAGCATGGAGATATCTGTAAGAAAAAGACTTGGAGAAGAGATCCAGAATTGGTACATCCCCATCTCTGAGCCCCATAGTAACCCATAAACGGGAGTTGTGTAGATATCACACTATACAGTATGATGACATCTAAGGCAAACATTGCTCTCACCACACACAATAATAATTTGTTGATATACAATACAGCTTTAATATAATTATATATCAGTAAAATATCATTACATATCATTACTAAAATGTTACCTTTAAATTATCAGGTAATACTAAAACATGTGGCCGTTATTACCTGTGTTATGTTGACTTGTCTTTAATAAATTGAAGCTGTTGGGTTTTGACCAGTTAGCAAAATCAACTTTACTTCGTGTTGCTTGGGCTGTTGCTTGGGCCATACAATAATTATGTAGCACCACCCCCTTGGGGGTTGCTAAGAGATTTGGGTCCCCCTACAGTCTTGCACAGCCAGTCAATCGGTATTCTCCAAACAAGCTTGCATTCTGAGTCAGAAATCAGTCTTTGAGCTTATGTTTTGTTGTTTATTGAGGGAATTTAGAACTGGGATAGGGTAAGGGGGGTATAGGATGGCCAAAGGAACCGACAACCGAGGGCAAACTTCCTGAAACTATTCACAAGCTTTTCTTCTGAAACACAGTCTCTGTGGAGAGCTAGCCAGCATCTCCCTGATACACCACCCCAGATCCTAAATTAAATGCTCCTCTTCACCCAGCAATCTGGAGATTTTCCTCGGCAGAGGATCTGGCTTCTGTCCCTTTAAATATGTGAACAGTAACTAGTTGGGGCTAACTTGGTTTCCCACCAGAGTGCTCCTTCCCTTATCTGCCCAAGGACTGCAGCTGTACTCACTTAGATTCTCTCTTGTACTGCTTGCAGGTTGGCTGCTGCTACCAGGTCTATCAGCTAAGATGCTCCTTCCCTGCCGTACAGGTGGTCCTTGCTCAGGGGGCCAGTGAGCCCCAAGCTTTCCTCCTGTCCAGCTCCAGGCTCACAGGCACGCCCCATCCCACTAGGCCTCCTGGAAGCCTCCTTCCTCAACCTCACATCTTCCTCTCCTTCTTCCACCCAGCTCCCCCTACTGAGCAGGTTCTAACACTTTTAAGGGAGTTTCAGCCCCTTGCCAAGTCTTCTGTTGGGGATTGGCTGAGGTCCCTCAAGAGTGCAACCAGCCACTCCTTAGATCCACCCACTGCCTGCAAGGCCCTCCTCTAAAAGCCTCAGAGCAGGGGGAATTTCCAGAGGGACTGACCTGCAGAGCCTCTCAGCCCTGATCACAATTTGACACCTCTGGCTACTACACCTGAGCTGCTAACAGCTCCTGTCAAACCATTAGGATCTAGCTCCCCCTAGCTAAACTAAGAGGGTGCTACAATTAAGTATTTTGCTTTCCCATTCTGAACATTTTTCTGTTCTCTACTATATGACTTTTCAAGGCAAGAAAGTAAAGCCATTATGTCTACATAAGCTTTTGATTATTTTATTCTTATTTTATTCTGTTATGATTTCCACAGCAAATTTAGGTTGTATTTACACAGTAGATTTTTCTTGTCAAGAATCTGCATGCACGTTGGAACTCAGGATCCAACTGTTCCAATAAATATTATTGTTGCTACATGATGTGTGGGATGGTCAGACTAGCAAGTCACTGCTGGCTTTTTCAAAACATCTGTATTAAATGTTTTGTGTAGAGTTATTTGTATTTATATACCTGGGTGTGGTAAATTAACGCAAGCATTTTTTTCTCCCATATGTTTCTGCACATATTATTTGTTACTAAACCCAGGATTCTGCATTCACTATATCTGGTCTCCCACAGTACACAAAACATGGAAATGCAGATATTTTAGTACATTTAAACTGCTAAATGCCTTTTCTCACAAGCTATATAGCAGTTTTAAGTCTTCTATCAGTGCCCAGCTGAGCAGTGGTTGAAGCTTGTAGGAGGAGTTTTCATTCTGCTCTGACTGTCCTATGAGGCTGCATGGAGACTCTCTGGACAGTGCTGATTGGCCCCGTGCAGATCCCATGCACCCTCTCAAAGCAAAAAAAACTCTCTAGCAATAAACACCAAACTGAGCATGTGCGGAGTGACTCCTAGAGCTCTGTACTATAAGCAGATAGATTGGGGACAGTAGAAGGAGGGGAAGATTAGAGAAGCTAAGATTAACTCCTTAGGTTTTACAGTGAACATAACAAGCATGCTTTACTGCATATACAGACTGATTTTACTGTTGTAGGTTTAGTAACACTTTTTCCTTTACGTGCTACCTAAAGAATACATGTAAACAGAAGAGGCCCATCAAAAAATACCTGTTAATTCAGATATTGTTGACAAATGACAGCTGGGCAATCAATGGGCCATAAATAATCATAGGGCAACATTACTGTAACTTATTATAAAAAGAGATAGTAACAGGAGCATCGTTTTTTAGCCATGTCATGTCTGTCTGAGAAGCACAAGACAATGCCAATACAACTTATATCAGGTGGGATCAACAGTGATTAGCACAAGTTTTCACACCTACCCCATTATTTGTTCCTTCCAATTGCAGATACCAAGGAAAAGCCAGATAAAGTGGCTGGCATCTCATATCTATGGGTTGCCTTGGAGAACGTACAGTTGATGTCTATATAATTATTCCACTAGATTGGAGAACGTACAGCTGATGTCTATGTAATTATTCCACTAGACTGGTTTGAGTGCATAAAAAGTAAACCTTACAAGGCAGTATAATTTGCTGCAACATTGCAATTTATTGCCATCTTGTGGTGAAAGCAGAAACTGGTGCAAAAGAATTAGTAAACAAAAATGGAAATGTGTATGCTGAAAAAAGCTCTTACAATTTTTTTAATGATACTTAAAGCGATAAAGTGATACTTAATGAAGGCGGAACAGTTTTCTATTATTATTTTACCCCCTTCTCCCCACCTGTGTTCAAAGAAAAAATTCTAATTTCTACTTACTCTATTCGAACTCCTGCACTATCTTCCTTCTTGGTCTAGTGCCAGCAGTTCCCTTCGTGCAAGATGACAATCAAGTCATTCTGTCCATTTCCTGTGAGCCCACACCCCCTTTTTCAAGGGACCAAAAGTAATTGGAAAATTGAATCAAAAGCTGTTTCATGGCCAGGTGCGGGCTACCCCTTCGTTATTTCTTCATCAATTAAGCAGGTAAAAGACCTGGAATTGATTCTAAGTGTGTCATTTCCCCATTGCCAAGCGATTTCAGTGGCTATGAAAGAGAGAGACATTTTTGATATATGCCCTGGATGTATTGGCCCCAGGAAGTCTAAACGAGGTATTAGAGATTAATACAATATTAAAATCTTCTGTTCGATCCTTTATTAGTGTTATTATCCTTTATTACATTCCATTAATATCAGATTTCAATTTCCAACGGGTCTTTTCTTCTTTCTATCATAGTAATTATTGACAAGTAACAAATTGCATATAGTACAATAGTAAGTGGATGTGTTTATATTATGAGACCATGTCCCACCCCCTCTTTTTTCCCTCTATTTATTCTTATTTTTATTTGATTGTCAGCTAAAAAAAAATGTTTTTTTGATCTCCCCTTATACGTTTTTATATGTATTATGCACAGCCATTGTATGTATGTTCATATG